GTATATATTTTGAACAACCCGCACAACGTGCGGGGTAAACACTAGTATATATTAAAGCAGACCCTTCATTAAACAGTTAAAAATTTATTACTAATACATAAAATTGTTAAATTGAATTAAGTAATTAACCAATAGTTAATTTCAGAAAAATAAATACCTCTTTGGTAATTATTGACAAATATATGACATAAGAATACATTAATCATCAAATTAATAGTTGTATTAAAAAAAAAGTTTGAAACCAAGTCTAGATACAGTAAACGTAGATTAATATTATTTTTCAGATGATTCTGTTTGATATATTTTTTAAAAATTAAAAGATATTAGTTACCAAAAAAAAAGATTGTTACCAGATAATTATATTACAAATATAATTTGAAACTAAGTCTACCTACATTACAAGTATGTTAATATTTTTCTTAGATAATTGGTATATTTTTCATAAATAAAAAGAGACTACTTACCAAAATGATGAGATTATTTACCAAATAATATACGAGTGCAATTCAAAATTAAGTCTGGATACATTATACATAAGGTTATAATATTTTTCTGATGATTCTATTTGATATATTTTTCAAAAATAAAAATAGATTAGTTACCAATAACAAAAAAATATATTTGTTACCAAATAATTATATACTGTGAATACAATACGAAATCAAGTCTACCTATGTTACAAGTATGTTAATATTATTTTATATATGATTGGTATATTTTCCATAAATGAAAAGAGACTACTTACCAAAACGATGAGATTATTTACCAAATAATTACACGAGTACAATTCAAAACTAAGTCTGGATGCATTAAACATAAGGTTATAATATTTTTCTGATTATTCTATTTGATATATTTTCCAAAAATAAAAATAGATTAGTTACCAATAACAAACAAATATATTTGTTACCAAATAATTATACTGCGAATACAATATGAAATCAAGTCTATCTATATTACAAGTATGTTAATATTATTTCATAGATGATTGGTATATTTTCCATAAATAACAAGAGACTACTTACCAAAATGATAAGATTATTTACCAAATTATTACACGAGTAGAATTCAAAACTAATTCTGGATACATTAAAAATAAGCTTATAATATTTTTTTGATGATTCTATTTGATATATTTTCTAAAAATAAAAATAGATTAGTTAATAACAACAAAAAATATTTTTTTTACCAAATAATTATACTGCGAATACAATATGAAACTAAGTCAGGATAAATTAAACGTATGCGCATATTATTTTTCAGATTATTCTATTTGATATATTTTTCAAAAATAAAAAGAGATTAGTTACTAAATAATTATACTACAAATACAATTCGAAACCAAGTCTGTATACATGCAAGATATGTTAATATTATTTTAGATGATTTCATTTAATATATTTTTCAAAAAATAAAAAGAGATTAATTTAAAAAAATAAAAGGATATTAGTTACAAATAATTATATTATGAATACATTTTGAAAACCAAGTCTGGATTCATTAAATGTAGAATAATATTATTTCTCAAAACATTTTTTTCCTTTACTTTGAACTGTTAACTAATCATTTTGTGTTGCATTTTAAACTTCGACATTATAAGAAAAATTTTGGTACTGCTTACATACCTTTTCTTTTCGAGAGGAGAGGTATCATTTTTAGAACATGCATTATATTTTCTATGTTAAGGATTATTTCTGCTGTATGTCATTGACAAATATTTATGAGTTTTGATAGTTTCATTTTTAAACAATCATGAGGGTTTCATTTTGGTATGTTTTGCACCGTTTCTATTATATAATTTCAATGGGTTTAGCTAAACAATAGGTATGCATCAATCTCGGTCTAAAGGAGTCAGAGAGACTAAAACGAAATTGATCATGTTCTAGAGTCTGAAGGTAAATATATACTTTATTTGAGATATTAATACTTAAATATATTTATTTTAAGTGCATCATTATCTATGTGTTTTAGTTTTACAGAAGAAGTGTGGCACCGTGATGGCAAAAGAATAAGTACCTCGAAAATTACTCATAACTAAGGAAAAAGTTATTAGTCCAGATAAATAAAATGGGTCCTGCACCCACCAGGCATAGCCTGTTTGGCTATTAAAAGAAAACAAAAGAAAAATTTGGAGTATGGATAAGTATTTCAAATTATTTATTAGTTTTTTTTTGTTTGCCACGGTTTTTTTTCCCTATTTTTTGTGCTTTATTTACTTTTGTTGTAATTTACTTTTTTTTTTATTTTGCTTTATGCCTAAAAAAAATTATTTATAATATTTGATTCAATTACTACAAGTAAACAATATATGCTTTTCAGTCAATATATTTTAAGAATATACATGATTTAATTTCTATTGTTGAAAATAACTTTTATATACTTATATCCCTAAAAAAGTAGGATAGTAGACAATTGATCATATTAATTCGTATTTAGAATATATTTTTTGTTTTGATATACTAACACTCCTAAACAAGAAGCATATTCGATTGAACATGTTAATTTGTATTTTAAAATACCATATATGGCTAACAAGTACTTGATCAAAGTGGTAACAGTATTGGACTAAGTTAACTACAATCCATGATTAAATCTATGCATGGGCATGTAGTAATGATTGTTGGGAGAAGTTTGTTTTTCAAAAGTGACCTAACCAATTCGAAGACAGATTAGTTTGAAAAACTAAAACATAGAATACTTTTATAAGAAAATAATAATATATTAATGTTATTTTAAAATATAGTACAATTCACACAACGTGCGGGCATAATACTAGTAAAAGAATAAAAGCACGCTTTTTGAAATAGAGACTATTTTAGATAGACCGACTATAAAATTATGTATGTTCATCGTTTCACAGCAACCTTTTTAACGTTAGAGTGATTTATCCTTGGATTGTATTGTGTAGAAAAGAAATCCGATCATCGAGTTTCGTGAAAATATAGATCTGGTTTTAGTTAGGTACTTTTTCGTCCTAAAAAATAATTTATTTTATTGAACTAAAATGATATAATAAAAAGCACTATAGTTTTGGGATGAATAGAATTTAATATACGCTTTGGTGGTTATGTTTAACTGAACAGAACAAAAAAATAAAAGATAAAAAAAATAGTATTGACATTCATTTCACCAAGCCAGATTCCATCAAGATTAATAACTTCGTATACGATCGTAGAGGTAGATCTTCCATTGTTCACGCATGCTTTCATGCATGTACGTAGGATAACTTTAAGAATAAATATAAGTAATTCTTTCATCTATTTAAATACCTGGTAAAAGTTAACGGTTGGCAAAGGTTTATCTTTGTTTTCTCTTTTTTTGTTTAAAAAAAAATTAAATATTACATAAAAAAAACATATGATTAGATTGGTGAATATTTAAAGTAATTTTTTGTTTATAATGTACTATGGTATACTCTCCATAATTTACTTCTATAATTTTCTCCAGTAAGAAGGAAAATAGAAAAGAATATAGAGGTTATGATAAAGTGAAAAGATTAATCATAGGTTAGGTGTATCAAACTTCCTACAGGATTTGGATCAATTTAAATTTTTTTTCTTATACTTTTATTGTCTCCCCCGTTAAAGTATTTATAATCCAACAACCATATTAGTTGTTACTACTATTGACCACGGACACCATCAATAAAAAAAAAAGAAAAGAAAAGGAAGGATAATTCTAATGAACAGGAAACCTCGCAAAAGAATAGTCCAACTTGGAAAGTTCTAATACATCAACTGAAATCATCTAATAAAATGGGAAAATACATGTGGGTTATAGTTAAATTGATTATATACAAATAGATTGCATATATTCTATTTTTTTTTTTTTTGTTATAGCAAAAGGGGCATAAACCTAATTCATCAAACTAGACTTCAAGGATGAGAAGCATTGATATTATCGTGCTTCAATCATCGCATAACATGAATGTGGAATTCTCCATGACATATTAAAAAAATTGAAATGACCACCCTTCCACATGTTGCTGACTCATGGACATTCTCTCTAAGGGGCATTCGGATTCAAAGGGTTTGATTATGAAACGTTTTAATTTATTTTTCTTTTTAAAGATACCTGTATATTTAGTACGTTCTACAATTCATGAACAAAGATTCCTCTTCGTTGTCCCGTGATTTCTATGTTTTTTTTTTTTTATAGAAAAACGAAGAACACCCATGAATATTTACTAATAAGAATACTGGGGCTTTGTTACCATCTGAAAATCTCAAAATGCAAGAAGTAATGTGGGGGAAAAGAAAAGAGGACAAGAAAAGAAAAGGACAAATCAATAAATAACAAAGTTGTTTGCAATTAAGGCAACCATCAAAAGATCAAAGTGAAAGAGTGGTCGGCATAACTGATAAAGATGATCATTTTGCAAGGTATGCCATTAGTTGGCTTATTTTAGTTTGGTACCAAAGAATTTGAATGACATACATATTCTAACTTCTGAGTGATCGACGATACTGTTTACAAGGAAATCAAGCGAGATACTTGATAAACTACTTTATTTGAAGCAAACAAAAAAAAAAATCTTATTTCTAAATATTAATCATCGTTTTAGGACAAAAGGAGTAATGAATTAAATTTCACACTTAAAAATAAAAATAGACTGAGAGTCTCAACGTTAACACCTCGCAGTTGTCGTCCCTCTCAACGTTGGTGCATTTCGTTTTATTTGATCTGTATGCTACTCTCTTCTTATTTTATATTCCCCTTTCCAAAATTTATCTAACTTGAATTTTTATTTTTGGTTCAATTTGTGACGGAGGAACTATAATAAAAGCATGCTAGAGATTTTTCTTACTCCCACAAAAAAGAAACCTTCATTGCGTTCTTTTACATGATAAATCATCACATTGTCTTTCACTACAAGTTTTTTCTGTTAATAGTATTTTTTTGTTTTTTTGTGTGTGTAAAATAAACAGAAAAGGAAATGAAACAGCTTTCTACTTCTTGGAACAATTTCTAATGATGATTTGCCTTTCCCAAGCATGATCTCAGGTAGCTTTAACAGCAAGAAACCTTGGTTCTTTAGGAAGGAACTTCTGAACAGCATAAATGTTCATGTAATCACCAAACACAAACTTTGGATATGATACTTCTGCTGCTGATTCTTTGACCTCTTCTTTCTCAGCTGCCAGTTTTTCAATCAATTCAGGTGCAGGAAAAATGGTAGCCTTAAGTGATGGATTATAGAATGAAGCAATGGATCTTCTGTTTCCATCTGGGGTGGCTAAAACCCTGTGCCAAACACTCTTGTATTTCCCATTGCTCAGGACTTCGATCTGATCACCAGTGTTGATGACAATCGAATTTGGGAGAGGTTGAACGTCGATCCATTCGCCGTCTTTTAGGATTTGAAGGCCACCAACTTCATCATCTTGGAACAGCAAGATGACTCCTCCAGCATCAGTGTGAGCTCTTAGGCCTATTACCTTCTCAGGATTGGGACATGGTGGATAATGACTGACTTTAGTCCCAAAAAATGCACTTTCTTCTTCGTTTTCGCCTCCGTTGAATGCCTTTTTGATGTAGCCTTTTGGTAATCCCAAGTTCTCATCCATGATTTCCATGACTTTTTCCCCTAGTTTCTTCAGTTCTGCTCTATATTCTTTCATGGTCTCCCTGTAATTATAAGATTTGTTAGAAACTGAGCATTAATGATTTTATTATATAATACAAAATGAAAATAAAAAATTAAAATTGAAAGAAAGGTTATTGACTATATAGGTGAGATAATTTTCTTACTTGAATTCAGCAGTTTTTGATGGCCACTCATTTTCATTTTCATCAGAGAGAAGGAAAACATCCTCCCAATCTACATTTTCAAGTCTTTCATTGCTGTTGTTTTCAAGCAGTTCTTCCAGCATCTTAACTGGCTTTGAGTTCTTGAATCCTTCCTCTCTTTCATGCTTGTAGCACTCAGAAGACACCTTCTTCACCTTCTCCAGCAGCTCCTCTGGAATCCCATGGTTCACAAGCTAAAGGGCAAGGAAAATCCATTAGCTTTATGGCAAGAGAGGGAAAAAAGAAGTACAAAACCCCCTTTTTGTAACAATCATGAACTATAGAAGTCTAAATTGTATTTTATTTGATTAAAAGTTGTGGAGAAGATGGCTTCTGAAAGATTATAACTTTATCAATATGAGTATATTGTAAAGAAAGAAAGCTTTGTGCATTTTCATGTTTATGGAAGAATGAACATTGGCTAGCTAATAATTTAAAATGCTTGAACAAGAGTACTATTGAAGAAATTTATTAATTACCTGAAAGAAACCCCATTCTTCACAGCATACAGCAATTTGAGCCATAGTTTTGGCTCTCTCCTCTCCATTAAGCTTGGAGAAATTGATCACTGGAATTGCCATTGCAATACAAAAAGCAAAGGAAAAAAGAAGAAGAAGAAGCAGGTCAACTTTTACTTGATTGGCTCTTTCGGAAGTTGTAAGAGAGTTGACACTTTTTTTCTTCTTCTTTTTTTTTGGTGATGAAAATGTTGCAATTAGATACGTATTTATAGCAACAATTCCTGTCATATTGGATTGTCAACTCTTCATATGCCAAAATTTTCTATAATAAATGGTTGTTAGAGTAAGATGATTGATGGGATTGGGCGGCGAATTGCATATAATTTGGGAATTTCTGATTTTTGACATTAATTATAATATTTATGGTCAATGTTTTTGAGAAATATTATAGGTAACCCACAACAGAAGCATTCTGCCTCAGGTGATATTTTAATTTTTGTGACCAAATAGTGTTTGTTAATTTAATCATTTGCCTCACGTAATGCTGGAGGTTTCGTAACCCTTGGCAATGTCAATGAGCGAATAATAAATCAATTAAGGAGTAAATAACCCAAAGACTCCTTTTTATTTTGTTTTCTCGGTTTGATTTTATCCATCATTTTTTATAGCATAACGTTCTTAAACTAATGATCAAATAAAAGACAATCATATAACTAGTTCTTTGTCGTTACTCATTAGATGTTGTAACCCCCAATTTTAATTTGGTTATCAGATCACTAATTTAGAGTGATCGTTTGATGTTTAGTATGAAACTATTTTAAGACAAGAGAGGCCAAAATGTATTCAAGTACAGCTTATCCAAGTGTAAACTGTGTTCAAGGTAAATAGTAAAGCCTGATTCAGGGAACTAGACTATTTTTCTCAATCATCACATTAACATGAAAATGGATATTTTTTAGTTATAGATATACAAGAGATCCAGAAATTGGTTGCTACACAAAATAATTGGAAACTTGTTAATGTTTATGTCAATGCTGATTTAAGTTTTATTATTTGAATGCGAAACTAAGTGAGATATGTTTAGTCCTGCATCCATAGGTATGAACAGAATACCTTGATTTCTTAAAGGCGATTGTGTGAGTTGACCTTTTCTATTTTAATTCAGGAGTAATATATTTCCGTCTCTAATTTGTCCCCCCCCCCCCTCCCCCTCCCTTTTTGTTATATTATTTCGTGTACACTAGCCAGGAGTCCTCAACTGTCATTTTATGAATTATGAGGGCAGATGGAATAACATGAAGTATTTAGAGAACACAAAAATACGGAAAAATAAAAGCCAAAAAAAAAAGATGAAGAAAGGATTCAGGGAAAGAGAAAAAATTAGTTTATTTACATAATAATTTTGATTACTAATAAGCAAATATTTATGTAATCCATAATCGTGTTTGCTATAGCTTTGGCATATTCAGACGATTCGATTTGATTGATATGCATATTGTGGGAAATCGGATGGATCATTTGATACTTTAATATATCCCGTTGAAGGGAAAATGAATGCAAAAAATGTTTAGAACCTCTTTGATTAAATTCGATCGAGGAGGTAAAGTTTGTTTACATTTGCTGTAGTTGATCAGAATCTAACAACTCAAATCGCAACTGTTCATTGGTGTTATATATATATATATATATTTCTGTGTGTGTTTGCTTGGGGGGTCTTTCGTTTTCCGAACAGAATATCATGCTAAACAAACACATATGACATCTAAAATATTTGAATCCGAACTCTAAAATTGCTTCTCGAAAGATAAAACTCTCGCATATGATAGCATGTAAACGCGCACATCAATAATCTACAAACAAAAACATTCCTTCGACAAAGTAAACTACTCTGCCTTAAACCAAAAAAAAAAAAAAAAAAAAAAAAAGAAATTTCATGAAGTTGCCAACCAAAATGGTTAACCACAAATAAGCAAAATGGCAACACGATAAGCCTCAAGCGTATAGTTTTCACTTGTCAGCTCTTGGATTGAACTTCATGCTGTATTCATGCTTTACTTGTTTATTTGCTTCTTACTCAAAGTCTCAAAACTCTGCCGACTAAATTATATCATGATTCAACAAGTTGACTCTCCCTAAATAATTTAGTTTGTAATATGTACCATCCCTTTTGACTTTTTATTAACCTGGAAATTAATACCATCCCTTTTGAATTTTGACGGTCGGAATATTTCCAAGTCAAAATTTTGAGATATTGTGTTACCGGATATTGATCGGTCAATAACTGAAAAGTGAAAAACAAGCATGCATCCCTATTTTAGAGTTAAGAAACGAATTACTATTTTGTAAACAAAGCAAGCTCATCACTCTATAAATTTCTTTTATAAATCACCATATATTCTTGGTCAACTCAATGTTCTGTGCATTAGTTATATAATCATCGAAGAAAGTTTCTTCTTTTTGCTTTTTTTTTTTTTTTCTTTTCCTACTCTTTTTCTATTATTTTTCTTCTCTTGATTATCGAGCATTCGACACGTAACTAAAGAAGCAAAGAATCACATATAAGATATGTTTAACCTTCCTGCTTAGCTAATTAATCTTCCAGCTTTGATTTGAATCTTAGAATTGTCTGACGATTAGGAAGCATGATTAAGGCTTAAAAACATCGTTACAGATGGCTCCATTTGTCATTCACAGCTAAGGTAAACACGCATGGAGTTGCACTAATTGAACATTTTGCTTTCCTTTTAACTAATAATTTGTGACTCGATTGAAGACGGGCATGTCCTTTTTTCTTTTTCTTTTTTTGGAATATCTCAAAATTGACAAGTAAACTGGATCTTTTAATTTTCTTGTTTTCACTTACCACGAGTGACATAGAATTCAAGTTGCATTAGGGCATCCAAATTTCAAGAAAACCCTAATAATTGTCTTGAGAATTTTACCTTCAAAGGTACGCGGCTTGAACGGGGACTAACTTTAGTGCAGTATATGCTCGTTGAGGCTGTATCCAGTATACCCGGGGGCACCGTGCCCCCCTCCTATTTTTTGCACGAGTAGTCCTTATTGTACTTTTTTCTCAATCTTTCTATATTTTACACGTTTAGTCCCTGTGAGTTTTTTTCTCTCTCTTCCAAAAAAAACATCCCTAATCTTTAAACGAGCAAATCTCCCAATCCGTGAAGAATTTGTGAACAAATTATATATGAAATTTATAGTACTCGTCGAAATCTATCCAACAAAATCCATAGTGAATATTTTTTCGGGCTTAAAAATCACTTAATTCTGATGGACAGAATAGGAATGGATATCCAGTTTTACAAGATGGATAACCAACTTGTTCTAAATTGGTTATCCATTGTATTCATGGTGATTACCCAATCCGTTTGAACTGGTTATCCATTTTGTTTCTACTGCTTATCCATTTGGTTATCCAACTTCTTAATTCAAAATAAGTTGGTTATCCATTTTGTTCATATTGATTATCCAATACGCTAATACTGGTTATCCAATGGATTTACATGCTTATCCAAGTTATTTGTACTGGTTATCCACTGTGTTCATGCTGATTATCTAACTTGTTTGTACTGGATATCCATCCATTTGGTTAGTATGCATATCCAACTCTAATCCTTCAACGAGCATATCTCCCAATCCGTTAAGAATTTGTGAACGAATTATATATGAAATTTATAGTACTCGTCGAGATCTATCCAACGAAATCCACAGTGAACATTTTTTCGGGCTTAAAAATGACTTAATTCTGACGGGCAGAATAGAGGTGGTTATCCATCTTCTTTTTTTTTTTGAAGAGTGAATGTCAAATATATGATTGGATAACAAGTACGAACAGAATGGATAATCACTCCAAACCGGTTGGATAATCAGCATGAACACAACGGATAACCATTTTTCAAAGAAAAACGAAAAACACATTTCTTTAATTTCTGCCCGTAAAATGTAAATGCATTTAAAGTTCAAAAAAAAAAATCAACATTGATCTTATCGGATAGATTTCGTCGAGCACTATAAATTTCATATATAATTCGTGTTATAATTCTTTACGGATCAAAAGATACAAGGAACACAACGATATGCATGTAAAATAAGTTGGTTATCCATCTTCTTAAACTGGTTATCCACTGTGTTCATGTTGGTTATCCAACTTATTTGTACTGGATATCCATCCATTTGGTTTGTATGCATATCCAACTCTAATCTTTCAACGAGCATATCTCCCAATCCGTGAAGAATTTGTGAACAAATTATATATGAAATTTATAGTACTCGTCGAGATCTACCCAACGACATCCACAGTGAACATTTTTTCGGGCTTAAAAATGACTTAATTCTGACGGGCAAAATAGAATAGAGGTGGATATCCATCTTCTTTTTTTTCAAGAGTGAATGTCAAACATATGATTGGATAAATAGTACGAACATAATGGATAATCACTCCAAAACGGTTGGATAATCAGCATGAACACAACGGATAACCATTTTTCAAAGAAAAACAAAAAACACATTTCTTTAATTTCTGCCCGTAAAATGTAAATGCATTTAAAGTTCAAAAAAAAAATCAACATTGATCTTATCGGATAGATTTCGTCGAGCACTATAAATTTCATATATAATTCGTGTTATAATTCTTTACGGATCAAAAGATACAAGGAACACAACGATATGCATGTAAAATAAGTTGGTTATCCATCTTCTTAAACTGGTTATCCACTGTGTTCATGTTGGTTATCCAACTTATTTGTACTGGATATCCATCCATTTGGTTTGTATGCATATCCAACTCTAATCTTTCAACGAGCATATCTCCCAATCCGTGAAGAATTTGTGAACAAATTATATATGAAATTTATAGTACTCGTCGAGATCTACCCAACGACATCCACAGTGAACATTTTTTCGGGCTTAAAAATGACTTAATTCTGACGGGCAAAATAGAATAGAGGTGGATATCCATCTTCTTTTTTTTCAAGAGTGAATGTCAAACATCTGATTGGATAAATAGTACGAACATAATGGATAATCACTCCAAAACGGCTGGATAACCATTTTTCAAAGAAAAACGAAAAACGCATTTCTTCATTTTCTGCCCCTAAAATTTAAAT